ATTCCTGCTTTTAGATATGCAAATCTCATCATCAGATGGCAAACTTAAGTGAGCTTGTTTCTATATAGAAATACCATAATTTTCCTTTATAATGGAAATCTGTGTGAATGAACACTTGATTTTGCAAGTAATTTTGGTGGCTGCACAAATATGTCCCCAATTTGGGACTATATTTTTCACTCAGATGTATAATTATGTGAATAATGTCATAGAAACTTTTTTTTTCTTTTGTAAATTTAAACATACTGCATGCACAACATCTCACTAAGGTTGTCTATCCATAATGGCGTTGGCTCTAGTCTGTGTACTGAACAAGAGTTTCGGATAATTGCTGAAGTAATCTACAGTAACAAGAAAATATTTTTAATATCTGTAACCAATTTCTTCAGCAAAAATTACAGCTTGTATTGTAATTAACTATTTCTAGTTAAATGGCCTGTACTGAGCCTAGATCGCATTTGGTTCAATACATCTTCCTCGATGTCACCTGTGGTGAGTCCATGCTTCAGGAAACCTCTCTGTCTTTGAGTCTTTTGTTCTCCTGCTACAAGCAGAATATCGGTGCTTGTCATTGCTCTCATCACCTCCAAGCTGCCTATATGATCTTCAGTATACATCTACATTATTTGTCTTGGTTCAGGCAATTTTCTTCATGCTATTTTGAATAAAATTGAAATTGTTTCTCCTTTGGAGGTGACAGCTCTTAAACTTTTTCCTTAATTTGCTGCTATAAAAATGGTACCAACTAGAAAGTTAAAATTCTTCATGCTGATGTAAAAGCTGTTAAATACTTTGAACACAGCTTAAATAAAGTCTTTAAACTTCTGAAAGACTTTATCAGAAGAGTTTCTTAGAGAGAGGAAAAAAAACCTCATACAGAGAAAAAGCTAATTAATATTGGCAATGGATACACAAAGAGGAAACAACATTCCTCTCATATAGTCAAATAAATGATACTTTTCTACTCACTAAATCAGAAAGCTGTCATCTTGCCAAACAGTATAGCTCTGTGGTCCAAATACCAGATTCTAAAACTAAATGAAAACAGATTGTGGCACATGTGCCGGACAGTTTGTTCTCAGATTGCCTGTAACGTGATGTGCCTTTCAGCAGAGAGTGGTGGGCTCAGGTGGTGCCTCCAGAGGGCTGGGCGATGGTCACTGGCCCGAGGGGAGGAAAAAGTGTCTGAAGTGTCTGTGGGTGAGACAGTCATGGCAAGAAGACAGGAGCTGTAGCCCATGGAGATAGTACTGAAAGGAGCAGGGACCTGATGCACCCATAACTCAACCCCCACAGTAGCAGAGAGAAACTTTTTAGGGATCAGAGGGAGCTGGCTGCAAATCAACACCTACTGTGATCACAGTAACCATGCAGAGAAGCAGGAACTTGCCTGTAGGTATATGATGGATGGAGGAGGTTTGGTTATATACAGTTTTATTTCTACTCTGTCTTATTTAGTCACTCTAAGTTTTCTCTCTTTAAAAGGTTAATTTTTTCAGTTTATATTTTAATAAAATCTGGTTTTGTGTTGAAAGAGCTTTTTATCTTCTGGTCTCCACCCCAAGGCAAGGGTCAAGACATGCATCTCAGAGCTTTACCTGGCTCTTCTCTCACACCATGGCACACACATCCTTTGCTTAACAGTATGCAGTGTTTGAATTTATCAGAACTGGCTGCAAATTAATACTTACATCCTGTGCAAATGCCAGGGTTACAAAATTTGTGCTGTGTCAGACAAAAGAAATACTTTATATGGCAGCAAAATTTCACAGCATCCCATTCTTTTGTTTTGTTTTGTTTTGTCATTCTAAGCCAAACAACACCTCTTGACATTTCCAGACACTGGGTTCACTGTGAGCTTAACTGAAGCCTTTAGTTTCATCTTCCTCCAGTTTACTCTGGATTTCGAGCTGCTGCACTGACTCCTGAAGAGCTGGTCTTTGTGTCTCCACTCTATTTTAACTCAACTGATGAAACTTAACCATACCAGTGCTGTGTAACCCAGCCCCAGACTAAATATTTCATCTCCCAGTGGCAAGCTGAAATATTTCCACCTCTGCTCTTGGGTTTGGACGTTGTCGTTTGGTTGCGTTTTCATTTTGAAAAGTTCCCATTCAACTCTACACTTATAAAATACTGGGCTTAATTTAAGCAAGAAGTTCCCAGGGAAGAAAATCCTCAAGTTATTTAATAGCCTTTATATTTTTTTTTATCCTGGCACTATGGGAAACTATGGTTGGGACTGATTTATGTCTTTTCCCATGGGCTACTTTCCTGATTTGGACTTAGTCTTAGATCATACAGAAACTTGGGAAAAATCTCCAAACATCCTAAGAAACTGTTTTTGACTTACAGAACTGCTGGCTTTTTTTTTCCTGCTTCACCGAATTGTATAGTCTTTGTAAAATACTAAGCTATGAACATGGGCCTACTCTTAGGTGTCAGTACTATGCTATTATTTTGAGTACCCTTCTGT